ACACACACACACCCACACACACACACACGAGCACACGCCCACAGGCACAAAAACCAATCAAACAAACAACAAAAAACCTAGAAATTCCCCCATATACAGGCCAGGCCATTTTTAAATATATGATGATGACCCTGCCTCATTCTCCCCATGTGTTGGGTGTAGGTTTGAGCCACCACATAGGACATTGTTCTCAACTCTTTTTTTTCTTACTTTTTTTTTTATTTTAGAGGCACTCATATTTACATGACCATTCCCCCCATTCCTTCACCCTCCCATCCTCCCATGTTTCCCGCCAATCCCCCATCTCATCCCCCACCTCCTCCCCAGGGATAGTGAGGCCCTCCACCAGGGACCATCAAATCTGTCATACCACTTGGGGGAGGGCCTAGGCCCTCCTTGCTGTGTCTGGGCTGCAATAGTATCCCTCCATAGAGAATGGTCTCCAAATCCATTTGTGCTCTAGGGATAAACACTGGGTACACTGTTAGAGGTCCAATAGACTGTCTTGGCCTCCTAGCTGGCACCCACATTCAGAGGGCTTGGTTTGGTCCAATGCTGGTTTCCCAGCTTTACAACTAGGATCTCCATGCTCTCAATAGGTTAGGTTAACTGTTTCTGTGGGTTTCTCCAGCACCATCTTGGCTCCTTTGCTCATCCCTCTTCCCTCTCCAAGAGTATGGTTCAGTGCTTAGCTGTGGGTGCCTGTTTCTGCTTCAATCAGCTACTGGATGAAGGCTCTAGGAATCGTAACCAAGGTAGCCATCAGTCTCATTATAGCCAAAGGGCATCAAAGGCAGCCTTTCCACCACTGCCTAGATTCTTGATTTAATGTGGCCATAATTTGGGTGGACCCCCTAACATTTACCCTATTCGAGCCCTCTCTAAAAACCTGTACTGTCTCCCTTTATCAAAGCATCTTCTTTCTTGCCCCCCTCTATTCCTCCTCTGTCTCATTTCTCTTGTTCTCCTCTCCCTCAAATTCTCCCCTTCCCACCTCCTTCTTTTCTCCCCCCACCATGCTGCCAATTTGCTCAGGGGTTCTTGTCCCCCTTCCCTTCTTCAAGGGACTATGCAATCTTCTCTTGGGATCCTCCTTGTTTCCTAGCTTCTCTGGTAGTCTGGATTGTAGGCTGGTAATCCATTGCTCTATGTCTAAAACTCATATATGAGTGAGTATATACCATGTTTGTCTTTTGTGACTGGATTGCCTCACTCAGGGTGGTTTCTTCTAGTTCCATCCATTTTCCTACAAATTTCAAGATTCCATTGTTTTTTCTCTGAGTAGTATTCCATTATGCAAATGTACAACATTTTCTCTATCCATTCCTCAGTTGAAGAGCATCTAGATTGCTTCCAAGTTCTGGTTATTACAAATAATGCTGCTATGAACAGAGTTGATCATATGTCCTTTTGTATGAATGTGCATCCTTTGGGTATATGCCCAAGAGAGGAATTGCTGGATCTTGACGTAGACTAATTCCCATTTTTTCTGAGAAACCACCATACAGATTTCCAAAGTGGCTTTACAAGTTTGTACTCCCACCAGCAATGAAGGAGGGTTCTCTTTCTCCACATCCTCTCCAGCATAGAGTGTCATTGGTGTTTTTGATTTTAGGCATTCTGACAGGAGTATGATAGTATCTCAGAGTTGTTTTGAGTTGCATTTCCCTGATGGCTAAGGATGTTGAGCAATTTCTTAAGTGTCTTTCAGCCACTTTAGATTATTCTGTTGAGGATACTCTATTTAGTTTTGCACTCCACTTTTTAATTGCATTCTTTAGTGTTTTGGTTGCTGGCTTCTTGAGTTCATTGTATATTTTGGAAATCATCCCTCTGTCATATGTGGGGTTGGTGAAGGTCTTTTCCCATTCTGTGGGCTGTCGTTTTGTCTTGCTGTCTGTGTCCTTTGCCTTACAGAAGCTTCTCAGTATCAGGAGGTCCCATTTATTAGTTGTCTATCTCAGTGTCTGTGCTACAGGTGTAATGTTCAGGAAGCTGTCTCCTGCACCAATTCATTCAAGGGTACTTCCCATTTTCTCTTCTAAGAGGTTCAGTGTGGATCAGGAATGGTGATACCTCCAGAAGTTCCTTTATTGTACAGGGTGGTTTTGGCTATCCAGGGTCTTTTATTTTTCCATTTGAAGCTGAGTACTGTTCTTTCAAGGTCTGTGAAGAATTTTGTTGGGATTTTGATAAGAATTGCATTGAATCTGTAGATTGCTTTTGGCAAGATTGCCATTTTTACTATATTGATCCTACCTATCCAAGAACATGGGAGATCTTTCCATTTTCTGGTATCTTCTTTAATTTCTTTCTTTAAAGACTCAAAGTTCTTGCTGTATAGGGATTTCACGTGTTTGGTTAGTGTTACTCCAAGATATTTTATGTTGTTGGTTGCTATTGTAAAGGGTGATGTTTCCCTGACTTCTTTCTCAGTGCATTTATCATCTGTATATAGTAGGACTACTGATTTTTTTAGTTAATCTTGTATCCTGCCACTTTGCTGAAGGTGTTTATCAGCTATGGGAGTTCCCTGGTAGTTTTTTTTTGGTCACTAATGTAAACTAACATATCATCTGCAAATAGTGAAAGTTTGAGTTCTTCCTTTCCAATTTTTATCCCCTTGATCTCCTTTTGTTGTCTTATTGCTCTAGCTACAACTTCAAGTACAGAATTGAAGAGATATGGAGAGAGTTGGGCAGCCTTGTCTTATTCCTTACTTTAGAGGAATCACATTGAGTTTCTCTCCATTTAGTTTGATGTTGGCTGTTGGTTTGCTGTATTTTGCCTTTATCATGTTTAGTTATGCTCCTGTTATTCTTGATCTCTCCAAGACCTTTATCATGAAGGGATGTTGGATTTTGTCAAAGGATTTTTCAGCATCTAGTGAGATGATCATGTGGGTTTTCTTTTTCAGTTTGTTTATATGGTGGATTACATTGATGGATTTTCATATGTTAAACCATCCCTGGGATGAAGCCTACTTGATCATGGTGGATGATTTCTCTGATGTGTTCTTGGATTCGATTTGCCAGTATTTTGTTGAATATATTTGTATCGATGTTCATGAGGAATATTGGTCTCTAGTTCTCTTTTTTAATTGTATCTTTGTGTGGCTTGGGTACCAAGGTAATTGTAGCCTCATAAAAGGAGTTTGGAAATGTACCTTATGCTGCTATTGTGTGGAACACTTTGAGGAGTACTGGTATTAGCTCTTGTTTGAATTTCTGGTAGAATTCTGCATGGAAACCATCTGGCTATGGGCTTTTGGTTTTGATTGGGAGACTTTTGATGACTGCTTCTATCTTATTGGTGGTTATAGGTCTGTTTAAATTGCTTATCTGTTCTTGATTTATTTTTGGTAAGTGATATCTATCCAGAAAATTATCCATTTCCTTTAGATTTTCTAATTTTGTGGAGTACACGTTTTTTATTTCCTCAGTGTCCATTTTA